AGAAATTAAGAAAACAATCCCATTTATAATTGCATCAAAAAAAATAAAATACCTAGGAATAAATTTAATCAAGGAAGTGAAAGACCTGTACACTGAAAACTATAAGACATTAATGAAAGAAACTGAATAAGGTACAAATAAATGGAAAGATAGTCCATGCTCACGGATTACAGGAAATAATATCGTTAAAATGTCCATACTACCCAAAGCAATCTACAGATTCAATGGAATCCCTATCAAAACTCCAATACCATTTTTCACAGAAAGGGAACAAACAATCTTAAATTGGTATGGAACCACAAAAGATCCCAAATAGCCAAAGCAATCTTGAGAAAGAAGAACAAAGCTAGAGGCATCACACTCCCTGATTTCAAACTATGTTACAAAGCTATAGTAATCAAAACAGTATGGTACTGGCATAAAAACAGACACATAGATCAATGGAACAACATAGAGACCAGAAATAAACCCACACATATATGGTCAATTAATTTATAACAAAAAAGCCAAGAACCAAGAATATACAATGGGGAAAGGACAGTCTCTTCAATAAATGGTCTTGGGAAAACTGGACAGCCACATTCAAAGGAATGAAACTGGACCACTATCTTACACCATATACAAAAATCAACTCAAAATGGATTAAAGACTTGAATGTAAAACCTGAAACCACAAAACTCCTAGAAGAAAACATGCACAGTAAGCTCCCTGACATGGGTCTTGGCAATGATTTTTTTAATTTGACACTAAAAGCAAAGTCAACAAAAGCAAAAATAAACAAGTGGGACTACATCAAACTAAAAAGCTTCTGCACAACAAAGGAAGCCATCAACAAAATGAGAAGGTAATCTGTGGAATGGGAGAAAATATTTCCAAATCATATATTTGATTAAGAGGTTAATATCCAAAATATATAAAGAACTCATACAACTCAATAGGAATAAAAACAAACAATCCGATTAAAAAATGTGTAGACAATTTGAATAGATATTCTTCCAAAGAAGACATCCAAATGGCCAACAAGTACATGACAAGGTGCTCAACATCACTAATCATCAGGGAAATGCAAATCAAAACAACAATGAGAGATCACCTCACATCTATTAGAATGGCCATAACAAGCGCTGGTGAAGATGTGGAGAAACGGGAAACCTTGCGTACTGTTGGTGGGAATGTAAATTGGTACAGCAACTATGGAAAATGTGATACACCACATTAACAAAATGAAGAATAAAAATCACATGATCATCTCAATAGATGCAGAGAAAGCGTTTGACAAGATACAGCATCCATTTATGATAAAAACTCTGAATAAAATGGGTATAGAAGGAAAGTAGCTCAATATAATAAGGGCCATATATGACAAACCCATAGCTAATATCATCCTCAATGGTGAAAAACTGAAAGCTATCCGCCTAAGAACAGGAACCAGACAAGGATGCCCACTCTCACCACTCCTATTTAACACAGTATTGGAAGTCCTAGCCAGGGCAATCAGGCAAAAAAAATAAATAAAAGAGATTCACATTGGAAAAGAAGAAGCAAAATTGTCACTACTTGCAGATGACATGCTTTTATATATAGAAAACCCTAAAGAATCTGCCAAAAACTTTTAGAAATAATAAATGAATACAGTAAATTGCAGGATACAAAATCAACATACAAAAATCAGCTGCATTTCTATACACTAACAACAAAGTATAAGAAAAAGAAATTAAGGACACAATCCCATTTACAACTGCAACAAAAAGAATAAAATACCTAGGAATAAACTTAACCAAAGAGGTGAAAGACCCGTACACTGAAAACTATAAAACATTGTTGAAAGAAATTGAAGAAGATGCAAAGAAATGGAAAGATATTCCATGCTCTTGGATTGGAAGAATTAACATAGTTAAAAAGAAATTAAGGACACAATCCCATTTACAATTGCAACAAAAAGAATAAAATACCTAGGAATAAACTTAACCAAAGAGGTGAAAGACCCGTACACTGAAAACTATAAAACATTGTTGAAAGAAATTGAAGAAGACACAAAGAAATGGAAAGATATTCCATGCTCATGGATTGGAAGAACTAACAAAAAAAAGATGTCCATACTTCCTAAAGCAATCTATAGATTCAATGCAATACCTACCAAAACTTCAACAACACTTTTCACAGAAATAGAACAAAGAATCCTAAAATCTATATGGATTATAAACAACAAAAGACCCTGAATAGCCAAAGGAATCCTGAGAAAAAAGAACAAGGCTGGAGGTATCACACTCCCTGATTTAAAAATATACTACAAAGCTATAGTAATCAAAACAGCATGGTACCGGCACAAAAACAGACACACAGATCAATGGGACAGAATCAAGAACCCAGAAATAAACCCACACCTGGAAAGCTAATTTTCAACAAGGGAGCCAAGAACATACAATGTCTCAATAAATGGTGTTTGGAAAACTATTCAGCCACACGCAAAAAAATGAAAATAGACCATTATCTCACAACATACACAAAAATTAACTCAAAATGGATTAAAGACCTAAATGTAAGACCTGAAACCATGAAACTTCTAGAAGAAAACATAGGCAGTATGCTCTTTGACACTGGTCTTAGCAGCATATTTTCAAGTATCATGTCTGACCAGGCAAGGAAAACAATAGAAAAAATAAACCAATGGGACTACATCAAACAAAAAAGCTTCTGCACAGCAAAAGAAACCATCAACAAAACAAAAAGACAACCTAATAATTGGGAGAAGATATTTACACACCATACATCTGATAAGGGGTTAATATCCAAAATATACAAAGAACTCATACATCTCAACAACAAAAAAAACTAACAACCCAATTAAAAAATGGGCAAAAGACTGGAACAGACATTTCTCCAAAGAAGATACACAGATGGCCAATAGGCACGTGAAAAGATGTTCAACATCACTATCAGGGAAATGCAAATCAAAACTACAATGAGATGTCACCTCACGCCCGTCAGAATGGCTATAATTAACAAGAGAGGAAACAACATGTGTTGGAGAGGATGTGGAGAGAAGGGAACTCGCATACACTGCTGGTGGGAGTGCAAACTGGTGCAGCCACTATGGAAAACAGTATGGAGATACCTCAAAAAATTAAGAATAGAACTACCATATGATCCAGCTATTCCACTGCTGGGTATTTATCCAAAGAACATGAAAACACCAGTGTGTAAAGATACATGCACCCCTATGTTCACTGCAGCATTATTCACAATAGCCAAGACTTGGAAGCAATCTAGGTGCCCATCAAGGGACGAATGGATAAAGATGTGGTATATCTACACAATGGAATCCTACTCAGCCATAAGAAAGGATGAAATCCAGCCATTTGTGACAACATGGACGGACCTTGAGGGTATTATGCTAAGCGAAATAAGTCAGAGGGAGAAAGTCAAATACCATATGATCTCACTCATAAGTAGAAAATAAAAATAACAGCAATCAATCACATAGAGACAGAGACTGGACTGGTGGTTACCAGAGGGCATGGGGGGAGGGAGGAGGGTGAAAGGGACGATTAGGCATATGTGTATGGTGATAGATTGTAATTAATCTTTGGGTGGTGAACATGAGGTAATCTATACAGAAATCGAAATATAATGATGTACACCTGAAATTTATATAATGTTAGAAACCAATGTTACTGAAATAAGAAAAAAAAGTAAAAACATAGTCAAACTGTATAAAAAATTAAAATAATAAAGCTTTGAAACTTATTCAATGATTAAAATAAAACAAATTCTATCTAGAAATTCATAAAAATTATTCAAAATTAGAATAATTAATGCTATCAATGGCAGGTTAAAATAGAAACTCGCATATACCTCTGTTGTGAATCGAAATTGCTACAACCTTTTGAGAAAGTACTTTGGCAACAGGCATAATATTTATTAGAATTTCATGAAGGTTTATTCTTCTTGACTCAATAACGCCACTTGTGGGAATCTATTCTAAGAATACAAGTCAGAATCCAAAGATTTCTCTGCACTCTTATTTTACAAAAAGAAGAAAATTGGAAACACTTATAATGCTTAACAATAAAAAGTGGATAAGTGTATTATAGCATCTTCATGTCATGAAATATTTTGAAACCATTTTAAATGATGTTCATTAAGAGTTTTAATAATTTGTCAAAATGTTTGCAATTACTTTAAGTGAAAAGGAAAAGCAAAATTATATATATGGTATGAGCATAATAATATAAAAACAAGCATAGAAAAAAAAGGCTGGGAAATATACCAACACGTGATTGTCACTAGAGAATAAGCCTAAGCAGATTTTTGTATTTTCTAATTTTCTGCATTTTCTACATTTAAAATAACAAACCATATTTCACTTCTATAGAGGGAAAAATAAACTGTGTTCCATTTTTTTTAAAGCCTCATACTGAAACATACCCCTACCTCCCCTGAATACCAAATAATGGGTAAGATTTGCAACAATCAGGCCAGAGAAACTGCTGGGAGTAGTCCAGGAATGGAATTTGGCCATGCAAGAGTGCTGAGAAGGGACACCTTCTGTGTTCAGAGTCCTAGGAAACTCGCTAAGGACAGAAGGAAGAGGCAGAGGCTGGAGGTGAGGAAGAGACATCAGGGTTTGTGGACAGAGATCATGAAGACCAACTGGAGGAGGCATCAGTAACCCAGACAAAAGACTGAGGAACCAACGTCAGAGAGTCATCTGAATAGATGGACTGGGGATACTGGAAGCAGAGAGAACGCTTCCCACTGAGCCAGATTTGGTCTAAGTGTGAGAGTGAGCACAAGTGGAAGGGAACTATAATAGGTGAGGGTGCTGAGCATCCTTATCCTACCCCAGAGTCAGGCTTTTCATCCACCAGCTGTGCAAAGACCAATTTTGGCCACCCTCCCTCTTATGCTACCAAATCTTTTCAACCTGAGGTAGGATCTAGGTGGCTATCAGACCAAAGAGCTCTTACATAAATGAAAATACAAAAACTTAAACTCACCAGTCAAAGCCAAAGTATTCGTTTGAGGTTTCTATCCACACGTAGAGCAAAACCACAGACAAGCAAAATGAAATAACCAGAAATGGGTAGAATAACTGCTCTTTCTGGGAAGAGAAAGAAGTTTAATTTGGCTCCATTTATCCATGTTACTTCAGAAACATCTGTATCTACTTGCCAAAGGTCTGTACAGTTGCCGTGCCATGCATCACCCTCCTCAGGCTAGAGTGAACAGTGTATTCTTTGTACCCCTATGGAATAATGGATAAGCCTGTTTATAACACTTATTACACTGAACTGCAATTGTGTGTTTATATGCTTGCATCTGATGTAACAGTTTCTTCTTTGAGGAAAAGGAACTTGCGTTACATATCTCTGCATTGCCAATATCTAGCGTGGTTCCTTAAATGCTGCCAGCTAGCAACAATCATCTGTTGAATTCATCCACCTCTCCATCTACCAAATATTTGTTCAGTGACTCATTCATGGAGTAATTCCTTCCTTCATTCATTCATTCATTCATCATTCATCAGTTCATTTAGTCATTTATCTATCAACATTTGACACGGGGGGGGGCGGGGGGGGAGCGGGTTTGAGAATAAACCTTTCTTTGAGTAGCTATTTTGTGCCAGTACAATGCTAGGGACTTCACAAGCTACTTTCATTTGTTTTATTTCTCAATATAGTCATGTAAGTTAGGTATTGTTATTGTTAACTCATTTGGCAGAAGAACTAAAGCTCAGAAAGGTAAAGTAATTGACTCAAGGTCACAGAGCCAAGAAGTGGCAGAGGCACTGCCCAGATCTGTGAGCCCAAAGCCAGGATGGAGGATATCTTTAGAGCAGGTGTTCAGACGGAGCCTTGAAGGCAACCCCCTACAATAAAAACCATATCACAAACCAGCCATGCCAGAGATTGCCAAACCCTTCCCGGGGAACATTCGATTTGGGTTGCTACCTGAATTATAATCCTAACACTTCTATATCACATGAAAAAGAAATTCTGCCTCTTTGGGACACTGATTTTAATCTGTTAAAAATGGAGAGAATAATCCCTGCGCTGTCTAAATTATGGGGTTATTGTGAAGAGTAAGAACAAAGAAATAAAATCGAAAACATAGAAATGGTATTCCAAAAACATGAGAGATATTACAGGTATCATGGCACTAAAATCCCACTTCCTGAGTGTAGGAGGATGAAGAGCACAGTATTTGACTCAGGTCTTATACTCTCTACATTAAACTTGTATGGACTTTCAAAAACACATACCAGGTAGTGTCACTCCCCTGCTCAAAACCCTCCCAGAGCTTCCTATTGCATTAGAATATCATCCAGACTGCCTGCCATGGCCCACAGGGTCCCACACCATCAACCCCATGCCCATCCCTGCTCTCATCCCATTCTACACACTGACTCCATTTCCGAACTCCAGCCACAGTGACCTTCTTTCTGTTTTCAGAACGTGACCAAATCTGTTACCACCTCAAGAGCTTTGTACTTCCTTGTTCCTCTGCCTGGAATACTTTTGCCCCCAGACGTACACATGGCTGGCTCTATCTCTTTCAGAGACAGCTCACACGACACTTCTTCAAAGATGTCTTCTCTAACCATTCTCCCATCCCAGTTTCTAACACATTTTCCTATTTATTATCTTCAAAGCTCTTATCACTATCTGAAATCATCTTTCTTCATTTATTGTTTATTACCTAACTCATGCCACTGGAATGTAGGCTGCAGGAGGGCCTGAGGCCTTAGTTGGCTTTTTCACTGTGGCACATAGTAAGTGTTCAATAAACTTATTTTTGTTGAATAAATCCATTTCCTTATTTTGATTCTCATTGTTGCCACTCTTGCTCAAAAGTCTTCAAAGGCTCCCCACTGTTTAGAGGATCAAGTTCAAATATTTTAGCTTGACATAGAGATGCTTCATAATTTGATCAAAATATTCCTTTCCAATCCTATCATTTACCATTTATTCCCTTACATGTCCCTAAATTCAACACGGGAAATTCATTTTTCCCTAAACACACCACTGCATTTCTCTATCTCTGGACTTTTCACCACTTTATTCCCTCTACCCAGAATCCCCTGCACCATCATTTCTATATGTGAAAGTTTACTTCCACCAAGAATAGTAATAATAAACAGCTAACATTTATTGAGTGCTATTGTGTACTGAGCCCACTTTTTCAGTGTTTCCATATACTATCTCTTCTATCCTCATGACAAACCCTATCGGTGGGTACTATTGTTACCACCTCCATTATTTTAATGAGGAATCTGAAGCCCTAGGATGTTAATTAACTTGCCCAGGGTCCCACAGTGGTAAAGCTCTAATTTGGAGATAGTGGTGAAGCCATAAATCGAATCCAGGCAGTCTTTCCCCAGAACACAAGAACTTAGCTCTTGTGCTAAATGCTATACTCCTCCCCCTGAACAGAAATGGGGCCTTGAGAATTATCTAGTTCAATTCCCTAGCTTTAGAGAGGCTCAGAATATCACATAACCAGCCCAAGGGCAGAGTTGGAATTAGGACCCAAACATACTCCCAGGCTCTGGTCCAAGGATTTTTCCATGATACCACACTGCCTTGAATGTCACCTTTCCCATGAAACCTCCCTTTATCTTTCCTTCTATGTCCTTCTTTATAGCTCTCTTGTGACTTACTACCTCATCCCTAAGTAATAAATATCTGTTGAATCAATTCACCCTTCTCCATCTTTACCATCACTACTCCAGTCCAGGCCACCAACATCTCTTACCTTGAATACTGCTGTTGCTTTCTCTTTGAAGGCAAAGACGTCTCCTTGCATTAGTTTTGTACCTTCCAATCCATCCTCCACATGATCAAATAATCATTCCAAAACACAGCTCAGGCAACATCACTAGCTTAAAATCTTTAGAGACTCTTCACTCTCCACATGGCAGAGGTCAAATTCTTAAAACCACACATCTGTCTCATCTATCTCTCTAGCTTCATTTCCCATCACTTCTCCATTAATATCCTCTGCTCCACCTAAAATAAACCTTATACCAGTGCCCTTTGACAACTCCTCCAATAGTATTTCTTCTGCCATCCCCTATTCTTTACATATCCAATTCTTAATCATCTTTCACCTTCTAAATAAACTTATTTTCAGTTATTTTCCTCCCTTGGCACATGGATGTATGCACGTGTGCAAACACACACACACACACACACACACACACACACACACACAAAGTATAGCACTTCTCTCACTATATTGAGATTACGTGTGTACGTGTCTTTTCCTCCATAGACTGTGAATTCCTTGAGAGCAGGAACCATGCCTGAGGCTCTTCTGTTATTCCCAGTTACTAGCACAGAAGCCAAACATCTGGGCAGGAAAGGTAAAGGGGACAGAAGAATACTCCTGCCTAATCCAGGGAAGCCACCCATTTCCACCCTTTTCCCCATCTCAGGCATAAGAAATTAGTGATCCAATTGGTCAGAATCTCAGACCTTAGCTGGACCATGTTTACAAGTAAGTGAAAGTACATGATATAGCTCTCCTTTTCTCACTTCAGTGTGCTTATCATTTGGTTTTTTATATCATATAGCCCAGCAACATATGGCTTAGAGAAAGAAAGAGGCCCTCAATGAGATGAGGCCACAAGCCACCACCCAGCCTCACCCGAGTTCTTCATGAGGGAAAATCAGGCATTAGCCTGACCAATAATAACGAGCACCTTGTCTCTCACTTGTTTTTTTCCTTATAAGCATAGCTCTTTTGGGAAACTCACAATGAAGAGAGAATTAAAGATTCAGGCATTCCTGTAATCCCTAGCCAAAAACATCTCATTGTACCTAATCTTCACTTTTTCTTCAAGGTTTACTGAATGAATAAAAGCAAAAGTTAATGAATAAATAAATAAATGACATAAAAGAATAAAAGTGAAAGAAAATGAAGAAAACAAGCACATGTTTCAGTAAGGTTAACTCTGGCTCCAGAATTGTGACAGTCTTTTCCTGAAAGAGCTAGAGCCCTAGCTTGCCCAGCCCTGGAGACTCTACTGCACCCTCATGGGGGCAGGGACCAGCCCACGTTCCCCACATCTGAGAAAGTGTGGTCAGCTCCTTCCCATCTCTCTGTACCCAAGAGCAGCAGCAAATTCTATGTCTAGATTTTTTCTCCTGTTTGACTTTCCCCTTGCAGCTGTAGCAGCCAGTAATGAAGGTGACATAGCATTGGTGGTTGAAGAGGTGTACAATCCCTGGATTACGCTTTTTCTGTTTTCTTGTCTTCCGGCTCCTGGGCTCAATCCTGTTGACCTTCGTAGGCATGGTTCACCCTTCTGCTGGAATGACAAATAAAACAATCAAGATCTAGTAGCTCCTTCAAATGTTCCCCACCCTACCATTCTACAGGATATTTCATCAAAAATAGATGGAATAAAAAAAAGTTTATAATCTAGGATAATGCACTGGATTTGGTGTAGAAGAGTAGAGCTTCATCCTACCTTTCCCACTACCTTGTGGAGTGTTTACTGCAGTTATTGAACCATTGAAGGTTTAGTTTTCTTACCTCTAAAATGGGACCACATTCTCTGTTCTAGCCAACTAATAGATGCTGAAAGCATCAAATTAGATAACATATATTAACGTGTTTTATTTTATTGAGGTCATAATAGTTTAAAACATCGTGAAATTTCAGTTGTACATTATTGTCAGTCACCATATATATGTGCCCCTTTACCCCTTATGCCCACCCCCCAATCTCTTTCCCCTCTGGTAACCACTAATCTGTTCTCTTTGTCCATGTATTTGTTTATCTTCCACATACAAGTGAAATCATACAGTGTTTGTCCTTCTCTGGCTTATTTTGCTTAACATAATACCACCAAGGTCCATCCATGTTGTTGCAAATGGGATGATTTTTTTTCTTTTTTATGGCTGAGTAGTAGTCCATAATATATATCTAATGGCATATATATGCCACATCTCCTTTATCCATTCACCAGTTGACAGGCACTTGGGTTGCTTCCACGTCTTGGCTATTGTGAGTAATGCTGCAATGAACATATGGGTGCACGAGTCTCTTTGAATTGTTGATTTCAAGTTCTTTGGATAAATACCCATTAGTGGAATAGCTGGGTCGTATGGTATTTCTATTTTTAATTTTTTGAGAAATCTCCATATTGTTTTCCATAGTGGCCGCACAGTTTGCATTCCCATCAGCAGTGTATGAGGGCTCCCTTTTCTTCACATCCTCTCCAACATTTGTTGTTTTTTGTCTTGGTAATTATAGCCATTCTAACAGGTGTAAGGTGAGATCTCATCATAGCTTTGATTTCCATTTCCCTGATGATTAGTGATGTTGAACATCTTTTCATGTGCCTGTTGGCCATCTGTATACCTTCTTTGGAAAAATGACTGTCCATATCCTCTGCCCACTTTTTTATCGGGTTGTTTTGTTGTTGTTGAGTTTTTTTCTTACATTTTATTTTCAGGTGTACATCATTCTATTTCAATTTCTGCATACATTACATCATGTTCACCACCCAAAGGCTAATTACAATCTATCACCACACACATGTGCCTAATCATCCCTTTCACCCTGGATGAGTTCTTTATATATTTCGGAGATTATCCCCTTGTTGGATATATGATTTGCAAATATTTTCTCCCAGTTGGTGGGCTTTTTGTTTTGTTCATGGTTTCCTTTGCCTTGCAGAAGCTCGTTAGTCTGATGAAGTCCCATTTGTTCATTTTTTCTTTTGTTTCCCTTGCCCAAGTAGACATGGTATTTGAAAATATCCTTCTAAGACCGATGTCAAAGAGTGTACTGCCTATATTTTCTTCTAGGAGTTTTATGGTTTCACATCTTACCTTCAAGTCTTTAATCCATTTGGAGTTAATTTTTGTGTATGGCGATAAATGTGTTTTTTTTTTAATTGTAATATGCTCTTGAAATAACTTGAGAACTTAGAAGCACAGATTAAGTATATGAAAAATACAATCCTTGACTAATAAGTGACTCACACAGCTGCCTGCCCCTTCCCTTTTTCTCCTCTCCCATATGGATCAGTTAGGGTTAGCCTCAATTAAGAATGATGGAATATTCAAAATAGCAATGGCTGAGATAAGATAAGTTTATTTTTTGTTTTGCCAACAAAAAAATTTCAAAGGTAGAAAGAACAAATGTGACTTCACAATGTCATTAAGAACCCAGACATCTTCCATCTCGCTGTTCCACTGCAGCACAGGGCTTACTCCTCCGAGTCCAAAATGGCTGCTCAAGATATATCCATCACTGCAAATTCCAATTAGCAGAAAGGAGGAAGGAACAAAGAAGGGTGCGCTCCCTTATTTTAAGGACATTTAGAGAAGTTGAACATGACATTTCACTAACAGATATGGATTTTTTTTTCTAGTAAAAATGGACAAACAGATATTGAGGGACATCTAGCTGTCACTACCACATTTTCTCACCCCACTGTGATAGGTGAAAGTTGTTCTCATACATAGAAACTTTCAGAGAATGTGTGGAATTGGAGGGACGAAAACAAACAAGGTTAGTGTTAATGGACTTGATCCCAAGCAACACTCTCTGCCCCTGAAAACTTTCTGTTGTGCCCCAGTTTCTTTTTTCTGAAAGGCACTCTGAAAGGCACAAAGGCACTTTCTGAAAGGCCTTGAAGTCAAAGTCAGTGAAAAAGCAGAGCAGTCAACTCGAGGTAAGAAGAGTGCTGTAAACTTACATGGCAAAGGGTGTGAACACAAAGGGTGTAACTAAAGGAAGGGTGAAAATTGGGGCAAAACGGTACAATCTACCTCACTATATTACCAGCAGATCAAAAAACCTTGAGGCAAAAAGCGTAAGCAGAAATGATAAACAAATCCACAATCGTAGCGTAAGATTTAGCACACTTCTCTCAATAAAGTATATAATAAGTAGACAAAAAAGTCTATAAGAATACAGAAGATTTTAACAACTTGGTTAACAAACTAGTCTTAACATTTATAGAACACTGTACTCAATGACTGCAAAATTTTAAATGGAAATGGAACATTTTTCGAAAGTGATACTGAGCCACACAGCTGGTTTTAATAAACTTCTAAGACTTGAAATCTTAAGAGTAAATTTTCTGCCTACAGTGAAATTAAGCCAAAACAGAATCTCTGTGATTGGGAGGATGGCAAATTGTAGAATACTGAATAAAACACAGCATTTTAACCAGAATCATTACCACAACCTTGATCTTCCATATATCTACAGATCCTTTAATTTGATGTCTACCAGACAGGGTAGCCAAGTCCACGTGAAAATTCAATAAAATTTAGGGAAAGACCAATAAACACAGTTTCCCTTCCAAACCTCTTCTCTGATTTCCAAATCTATATATTCAACAGCCTAGTGAAATCTCCACTTGGATATCTCACAGGCATCTCAAAATTACTATGTCCAAACCTGAACTCTTGATTTTCCCTTCAAAACCTATTCCTCCCCAAGTCTGTCCCATCTCAGTAAAGGACACCACTGTTCACCCAGTTGCTTCAGTCGAAAACTAGCGTGTGCCTATTAGAACTGAGAAACTCGAACAAGAATTACCCTCCCACCATAAACAACTGGACAAAATACATGAAACAACTATTTTCAGACGTTGAACAACAGGCAGCGTTTGGCTGTGACGGTCAAGAGCAACACACGAGCCGAACGCCTCACACCTGCCGGGACTTCCGGACAGGCCGACCGCAGGCCAGCCCTGGACGCCCAGCCGAGCCACCCGGCCTGCCCCGGGGCTGCGGGGCTCGGTGGCCCTGTCTCCGACCGGACCAGCATAGCCGGAGGCCCTTTGGTCCCAGATTCCTCCGCCGACAAGACTGGCAGCTCCAGGTTCACTCCACATCGTCGTAGTGAGCTGACTGGGCCGAAGGGCCTCAGGTCTGGCTGCCAACTTGATAATACTAACGTAGCTTCCTATGTCTGGAAATGCTTAAGGGGAAGCACCGGGCGGGACACATTACTTACGGCGACTTCACAACCCCAAACGCAAACCTGGCTTTCCTGCCGGAGGAGACCAGCGTCTCTCAAGATGGCGGCCTGGCTGAAGGAGGCGGCCTCACGCCGCGGGCGGGTGGGAGTGGCCAGGGGCGAGGCCTCAAACTTGCCCTCAGACAGCGTGGCTGAGTTGACGGCCCGTCCAGCGTTGCCTCAGAACACGGCGTTTTAAATGTGTCTTTTAAGGTACGCTCTCTTTGGTTTTGGGTTCTTATAAAAATAACTTAAGCGTAAACTTAGTTCTCGTTAATCATTTAGTTCAGGCATTAACTATTTTTTGTATCCCAGTTATTCAGATTGTCTCATTTTTTTTTTTTTTTTTTTACTATTTTTTGTTGTCTTTTTTCTTTTTTCCTAACCTGCTTCAAACAATGGACCTGTTTTAGCTTTGTTTGTTTCTTGTTTGATCTTTGAATCCTCCGGCTGTTTCTCTAGCTCTGACCTCATTTCTGAGCTCTAGACTCTTGGATCCAACTGCCTGCTGGTTATCTTCATCTGAACGTCCTGCTGTAGACGCCTCAAACTCAGTAAACCCTAACTTGAATTATCTTTCCCATCAAATCTGCTCCATCTCCTGTGGCTCCAAATTGGTAAATGGCAAGATGTGAACCAATGCCTCATTCTTAACTCTTCCCTTTCCTTTGCAACGCCCCGGCCCCACCCCACACTGACCAAATTCTGCTTATTATACTTCCTATTTCTCCTAGTCATTCTCTTGCTGCATTTCAATGTCTGCTGGGCCTCTAATCATCTCAATGGGTACCAACTGCTTAGTACTGCTATGGTGAGGGTTAAGGTGGTTACTGCAGTAGACTCCCCAAGAATCTCACTACTTCCAGTTTGCCTTTTCCAAAAATCTACCTTTCAAAGAGCGGCTAGTGATCTTTTATTTTTTTATTTTATTTTTTAATTTTTTTTAAATTTTTTCCCCCAAAGCCCTAGTAGATAGTTGTTATGTCATAGCTGCACGTCCTTCTAGTTGCTGTATGTGGGACTCGGCCTCAGCACGGCCGGAGAAGCAGTGCGTCGGTGTGCGCCCGGGATCCGAACCCAGGCCGTCAGCAGCGGAGCACACTCACTTAACCGCTAAGCCACGGGGCCGGCCCTAGTGATCTTTTAAAAATGCAAATCTGACCATGTTTAAATAAATTCATTCCTAAGGTTAAAGTTTAAATAAATAAAAATTCATTCCTAAGGTTAAAATTTAAGCTCTTTAAATTGGATCATGCCTTTTTCTCCAGTTTCATCCTCTCCCTACTCTCCTTCACCCCCACTCATATTGAAACTCCAGCAAAACCCAACCTCTCGTACTGCTCCCCTACCCCATTGTATATCTTCATTCATGCTGTCCCTACTGCTGGGCGTACCCACTTCCCACCCCTACCTTTTATCTGGCTAACTCTTTTTGTTGGTGTAAGACTCAGCTCAGGAAGCCTTTGATCATCACCACCCATTCCTCACCACCACACTTGGTTAAGTACTTCCTCCTCTTGTCCTTTTTGTTTCTGTGAATAAACCTCTTCCTACTCTATTAGCTGCGCTGATTATAATTACCTATTTTGTTTTGCCGAGGTTTTCATTTCTGCTTCCTCCTCTAATTGTTATCTATTTGAGGGTGAGGCCATATCTAACTCATCTCATTCCCAGTGCTTACCACAATGCTTGGCATAATTGGTTGACTAAATAAACGGCCAGAAGCTACAGACCCATCAACCCCTAAGCTGAACTAGACCGTTAGGCTGCATTTTTTCTGACCTAGCTGAATTCCCTACAGTGTCCCTCCCAATAACCAGTTGAGAGGACTTGACCCTAGTCCAAAAGAGAGAATGGTAGCTTGGATTGGAGTGGTAATAGTGTAGAGGAAGAAAAGTAGATTAATCCTTGAGATGTTTACCCTCTCCCTCCAAATTTCCTTTCTGGGACCCTAGCTTAACCCTTGGCATAGCAATGCTAAACTGGGTGGCACCCACTGAGATTAGGTAGCAATCAAGGGATTAAGCAGTCTTTGTGATAGCAAGATTTTCTGAAACTCCATTCTTACTTCTTCTTTGGAGACTTTTTCGTCTTCTCTTATCAACAGAAGGAGAAACAAGCTCTGGAGGTTGGTCCCATGTTTAAGTAAATGCAGGCCCGATCCTATCACTTCTGATTTTAAAGCAGAAGCAAGACAAATGAAACTAAAGCATACAAAACAGAATATAAAAAAGGGTACCAAAGAGCTTATCACATAAGTCTAATTATAACATTCTTATTTCAAAGAACATCATCTCTGTGGGAGGCTTCAAACTTACCTGTTAAAATCAGTAATGAAAGTAGACTTGGGGACATGGTGTGGCATAAGTAAGAAACCACAGGTTCCCATTGATATCTAGGAGTGATTTTTTATCAGCTTTATTGTCCCAACAGAACTGACTCAATTTTGTAGACTCATTATTCATCTAATTAAATTGTTCTTTTGCAATGAATATTGTTCGAAGTCTGGTGGGCCCTGTCTGATCCTAGACAAAAAGTATGATGGACTCAAGTAAGATTGTGTGGAAGAACTGTTACTTCTTTAAAGACTTGTTCAAAACTGCAAACTTAAAGTTTGCTAGTCCTTTCTTCAAAACTCCACCTTCCTTCTGTAGACTAGGGGCTCTTAGTCCAATAGTTTCCGTAAGAAGTAAGCCGACCTGAGATAAAGTTTTTTTCTAGTGATCATTTTTACACTATCATCTTATGGAGAATTCTGCTAAAAACAACATAAGAGAGTTTGCAGTTTGCTATAGGGCATAAAGCCTGTATCAAATATTTTGCAAACATATTCACACAGACACACACTCACAAGTCATTTGCTATTTAAACATCTAGGATGGCACATGGTCACGTAGGCCTTTGTGTATAGGAGAGGTTTCTCAGCAAAATGTAAGAAGCAAAAAAAAACAAAAAACAAAAAACACAGCCAATTCCTTACTTTCTCTGCAGCCTAAAGTCTAGGCAATAGCTATCCCAACCTTTTTGTAGCTTTCTCATTATTGTAAGAGCAATTTTATCACTCACTGCTTGTCTGAAGAATGAGTAAATAGTTAAGGGTTGTTTTAAGTACCAGTTATCTAAATCTGCAAAATGATAAAATTGACACAAAGAAAGGGAAAAATTCAAGACCTATGGATATGTGTCACCTCAGTAGTTGAGTGCCAGCTTCTGATTTCTCTTTCTTGGCAGCATGCTGGGGCCTAATGCCAGGCTCTAGTCAACTGTATGGCAGTGTATCAAGCCCAAAACTTGGACATTATCTTTGCTAAATTCATATTATATTCCTGTTTTAACAAGCGTCCTTTTTTTGTGTGTGTGAGGAAGATCAGCCCTGAGCTAACATCTGCCAATCCTCCTCTTTTTGCTGAGGAAGACTGGCCTTGGGCTAACATCCATGCCCATCTTCCTCCACTTTACATGGGGTGCCAGCACAGCATGGCTTGACAAGCGGTGCGCCAGTGCGCACCCAGGATCCGAACCGGCAAACCCCGGGCTGCCGCAGTGGAGCGCGTGCACTTAACCGCTTGCGCCACCGGGCCGACCCCTTAACAAGCGTCCTTTTTATTAAAAGTAATGAATCTCCTTTCAAGTGAAAGGTCATTGAAATTAATATTTTTGCTTTGAATACACTTATAATGAAGAAAAATTGAACAAGTCTGAAAGAGATACTAAATACTAATATTAGGGCTTAATCCCTTAGCAACTTGGCAGGAAAAAAAAAAAAAAGGAGGCCCAGACTTTTGAACAGAGTAGCCTCAAGCTGCCTCAAATGGATAGAAGTTTTTATCAACATTTGATTGACCTTTGATCTATGGCCAGAAACCAGGTATTGGCTAAAATGCTTAAATACAACTTAGACTCCTAGTCATTGATTCTTCTATCAAACCTCCATTTTAGTGCCAGTAAAAGAATCAGAGTTGGCATAAAATCTCCTGACAAACCAGGTAATTACAAGCATTGTAACACAGGACTGCATTTGCTATGTATCAGGGATTGTGGTAAATGCTTTGCATACATTATTTTATTTTCTCAGAATCTTAGAGGTAGATACTATTATTGTACTGATTTTACAAATCGGGAAACTGAGGCTTAGAAAGGTTAAGTAACTTCTCCAAGGGCACACATACGTGTGACAGAGCCAAAAATTAAATACGGCCCATTTGAATCCTATTACATTATGCTGCTTTGTTTCTTCTAGACCTGTGCTATTTAATAAGGTAGCTCCTAGCCACGTGTGGCTATTTAAATTTAAATTAATAAAAATTAAATAAAATGTAAAAGTCAGTTCCTCAGTCACTAACCACATTGGACAGTGCTGGTCTAGAGTCACAAGTAGCTGGGATGCCCTCTCTCTTTTCTGATTGTCTTGACGTGAGTACAGCCATGTTTGGCCATTCCATTGACCTACAGCCACCAGCACACAAAGAAATATAAAGCTGCTTTCTGTGTGGTGGGAACTGACCTTTCTCCCAGGAACTGGCCCTTCTCCCACAGAGATAGTTGCAATTTGTAAGATTACAAGACTCTTTGGGCGTCGTAGCTCGGGACGGACTGGCCATCTGTGCCAGGCTGGGATGATAGCCAGGGGGCTCAGTGCACGTACGCAACTGATAACCACTTGTACATGGGAACACCAAGTGCTTACTCTGCAAATGCTTACTCTGGAGATTACTGATGCTGTATAAACTGCTGGAAACTGAGGCCTGGTGAGAGTCTCACCTGTGGAGGGGACGCCTTGCCCAGGACCTCTGACGATCAGACTCCTGCCTAGCCGTGTCAATTGAAGGGACTGTCCTCGGCGCAGGGGCGTGGATGTTGTGAGTAACCAATCTG